AAAAAAAAACAACAAAAAAAAAAAAAAAAAAAAAAAACGGTAGGCTGGTAACGTTCGCTCGTTGCTCGTGCACCCAAGTGTTGCGTGCGATGTATGTTGTGAGGTTTTTTTTATTATTTTTTTTTATCTTTCGCACTTGGAAGAGGTACAAAAAAAATGTCGTGCAGATGAGTAAACAGACATCCAAACAAACACAAGCTTCTTTTAAAAATAAAACCACCAAAAACTCTTACGACGTCTCCGCTGCCTTCCATAATCTACACCGCGTTCCCGCGCAAGCTCATCCTCGAGATTTCCGTCATACTTACCGCCCCTCGTCTCTTCTTATCAACGCGTCATGGGACGGGTGCACGGTTTAAAGGTCACGGAGCGCCGCCGTGAGATTACGGCTAGAGGCTGTGCGGGCCTCTCGACAGCTGCGCCAGTAAGTCGAGCGTTCCCGGGCGCGAAGGAGGAGGAAAAAAAAAAGCTCTCTTATCGGCACAACTAGGCATAGTTTTCCAGAGCTACCGTCTTGGTGTCACATTTCTCGTTTTGGAGCTCGAGAGATAAGATCGCCCGGGTAAGCAGTGTTATACAATACGGGGATTCTTTTTTTTTTTCCCCTCGTAAAGTAAACACATACATTACACGTTTATATATTTGGATTCAAAGCATCACCGATTTCCTTCACCATAACACCGGGTTCGATCGATAAGCGTGCGTGCATCGTTGCATTATTATGCGCAGTTGAAAAATGAGAGTTTGCTTTTTAGGCTCGAATTTCAAAAGTGAGTATCGCATGCCGTGATGCCAAGGGAGAGGGGCCGTCACTTGAATAATGAGCTGCGCGTCTTTGGGGACTCGAAATAACCCGGGCTGATTGTGAAATTACGTAACTCGGGTTTGATCGGTACGCAGAGGCAAAAATAAACCACGGCCATTACTCTTTTTTTTTTTTTTTTTTTTTTTAATTAAAAAACTAAATGATTGCCTTTTATTAAAATTTAGAGGTAGAACTATTCACCGTTTTACTTAAAGACGTTGTTGCAAACGATTTAGAAATTAGTAACAAATACATTTTCGTTTAGATAAAAATTTCGATATCTAATCGTTACAAATGATAATGCTAAAGAATATTAGGAGGAAATCCATGTAAGCAAATTTGAAAAATGAGTTTTTAATGATGTATAGACTTAAGAAATATTATCATCACGATTCGGGCCTCCAACTAAACCTTCCAAACTCGTGCGTCGTTAATACAAGGTTTCAAGTAACGTGTAAGTATGTTAAAAAGATTTTTTTTTATGAAGTCTTATTTTTCAAAATCGTGACTGGCACATGGTTATGCAATGTCAACTTTAATGTTATTCACGTACCAGCTAATCAATCACTGTACGTATGTGCTAATATCCTAACACGTAAAAAATATGATTTTTGCCGACGCCATAACGCATAAGAAAAATATAAATCTATGAATATACACCTATGTTGGAATGATGATTTACGAATCTTGTTTGGTTTTACAGGTTATTTTTTTTTGTACCTTGAAACTTTGCAAATAAGAATACATTATAGTATCTTCAACATTTATATAACATTAAATAAACAAAAGTCTCAACTTCAAGTCGAGTACATAAATTATTGAGAACACAGTTTTTTTTCCTCAGCTCAATTTATTTCGGACGAACAAATAAAACACAACGAAATCAAACGTCACTCTTATTTATCTTTTATCTTTATCAGTTAACATATCTGCGACGGCAAGTGCTTGTTGTGAACTTTCCAAATTCAATCTCTCCGGTTAAAATATTCACCTGATTGATTACTCCTGGCATATACTTAGCAGTCGACGACAATCTCGTGACGCAAAATATTTCGAGTGTTAAAAATTTTAAATTACAATAATTGTTTACGTTGTGCGAAATAACAAGATGTTTTGTTTCGAATAACGATACAAATTTTTATTTAAACATAAGTACTTGATTTCAAAAACATTGCAACAAAATGCTCATGTATTTGAAATACAATTGTATTTTATTATTAAAACAATTTTTTTCAAAATAAAACACAATCCTTATTTCTTAAATATCATCAATACACGACTTTGCCCAAATGTACCTCCATACTATGGCAATAAAAATTGTTCATTTGACGCTATGGAGCACGGACCCTCATCGTAACGCACGAGTTTCATTGTATACTTTTAAAAAAAATCACATTTCTCTTTGCGGAAAAAAAAAAATGTACAATCTTGTTATTCCTTGTTCAATTTTCCACAAACCACCCACAATCATTCGAATTTTCGTTACATCAAATATAGATTTGCCTGAAATGCGAAGAAATAAACAAAACTAAATCAAATAACAATATCCATATTGACGAGTTGTTGCACCAGTTTTGTGCAAGGTAAAACAAACAGAATATCCTCGACACCCCGTAAACCTTATCAATTTTTACAAATTGTCCACCAAATCCTTATAAAAATTCCTGCACGGTAAACAGAGGGTGTAAATATTTAGGTGCACCATGACACTGCGGCAGCGGGCGAAGCGCCGAGAGAGACACGAGGTCCGACGTTGGGACAGGGCAATGGGCGCGTCGATATAGGGAAAAGATCGATAGAGACGCGGCGGCAAAAGGGGGGGGGCGGAAGGAGGAGTTCACTGGGTCTCAATTATATCTATACAAACTGTTCGCGTACTTATACAGTCTTGTTTGGATTTTGCACAAAGTTTCGTCCCTCGATGTATATGTATACCTATACATACACGAGCCCTTTGTCCATGCACCCTGTATAGGTCAAAGTCTTGTTTTGGAATTTGACTGGAAACCCTTTTTTTCGCCACTGCTTCCCTTGTACACAAAGGAATCTATTTTTCGTTTAGATAATGGAAAAACAAAAACAAATGTGCACTTATTGCATGAAACATAGATACGCGAGGGTATAATATATGCTTTGACCCAAACATTATGGATATATGTGTTTTAATACACGAGCGTCCCCGAGATCGATTTTTATCCATTGCACGGTCGCGTCATTCGCTGCACGTATATGTAAAGAGGCGCCCGAAGGTATATCGATTTTTATGTCTACGGCTGTCTTTTTCCTGTGCCCTATATAGGTACTTTTCAAACAGATGTAAAAGATAATATGAACGTTGTAACAATATTTCTCTTCAGCTTTACAAGTGAATAATCGTTCAATCTTACATAGCTAGAAATTACTCCTGGAGCGTGAAACGGTAATAAATCCATTTAAAGTTGAAATATTTAAATATCCCATTTGTCGAAATCACCAATCAATTTTTTTTTTTTTTTTTTTTCCCCTAAAGCCCAAAGTGATTTGAGGGGTGATAAAAACTATAACATTTATTTGCTCAAGTATAAACTAACAGTGTATCATTAAATACCTAAATGAGAAATTAAGTAATCACCTGTAAACAATAATCTCGTTATTTGCGCGTGTGAAAAAAAAAAAAAAAAAAAAAAACTTTTATGCAAATGTATACAAATAAGTAGATATAGTGGCGAGTGGTTGCGCAAGTAGATGAGTGCCGAGTTTGGTCAGACGGGCTGAAACGTCACACGTTTGTATATAGACAGGCGGCTGTTGCTTATTTGATCGATAAGATAATGGGAGGAGGAGGAGATGATTGTATACACAATTTGGTCGTAGATTACACGTGTATTGTTGACACGTTGTATACGGAAAAACGTAGTACCAAGCCGATGGAAAAGTGTATTTACGTTAGGGGCTGGGACGGGAGGATTGAAAGAAATAAGGTTGAGTAAATAATGCATATACGTGCGACATGCCACGCCGGATAGTATGATTGTTTTGTCGTGTATAAGTCGATAAAACGCAAATTGATGTTATTTTTAACGAGGAAATGTAACTTTGATAAAAGTAATCCCGATGAATCGTAAAGTTGAAATTTTTAATTGGAAACGAGGAACTAATGAGCTCTTTAATTAGATGAAAATAGAAGCATATGGCTGATGCCGCACAAAAAACACGAGCAATTAAAATGCAAAAAGAAAAAAAAAAAAAAAAAAAAAAAAAGTGTACATAAGTACGTGTGTTAACACAGACGAGGAGATCAAACTGCTGGCACAGGTGGGCTTTCCGCAGGAGCGCTGTATCAACTATCTGTCGCCCGACGAAGCGCACGAGGGGATGCGCGCTGCTTGGCAGAATCGTAAGTGTCCGAGAACCTTTTAACGCGATTGTATTTGGAGAGAAAGAAAAAAAAAAAAAAAAACTTTGCAATGATTTCCAGGTATGCAAAACCTTAGCATCTCGTGTTCGCTCGTGTGTCTGATAATCCTCGGTAGCGCCGTGATCGTCGGCTTATTCGGGCTCTGCAGGCATCAAATTTCAGCTGTCCTGGTCACCGGTGTTATGTACCTTCTGGCTGGTGAACCTTTTTTTCCTCTTTTGTTACGTGTTTGATTTTTTTTTTTTTTTTTTTTTTACAACACACGTATCTAATACAAAAACAAATTTACATCCTATAGTAGTTAGACGCTGTGACTATAGGTGCTTCCTTCGACGGGGAAGGATTTTTTTAAATAATTTTAATCGAAGAAAAAAAAAACATTTATTACAATTTGATGATTACATTTATCCGGTCAAATCAATCTATGGCTGTATGTTTTTTTTTAATTGGTGAACGACTAATCCCAATAGACGTGAACCATTCGTTTTTATGGTTTTCCCTTATTGGTAAATTGGTGAAAATAAATCGAAAATCAATAATGACACGGGAGTCAATTGAAATCAGTAAATTTTGAAAATAAAGCCACAAGTTGTAAAATTTTTACAAAAAATCCCAAATCGTAATGATAAAATGGGAAAACTCACTTAAGAAATATTAACGACAATTTTTTTTTTTTACAATAAACTCGAGTCGATCATAAATCAGATTGAAGATTAATCTATATAAAAAAAAAAAAAAAAAAAAAAAAAAAAACTCTAAATCGTATACGTATACTATACACATTACAGCGGTGTTCGCCCTGTTCACCCTGACGATAATCCAATGCAAGCGGTCGCAGGAGCGGGCGAGCTCGCACACGCTGCCGGAGGGCGGTCCCGAGGACGGGGTGTTCGGCAGCCCTGTCGAGCGCTCGGCGCTAAAGTGCCGGCGCTTCGTTGCCTCGTGGAGCATGGACCTCGGCTGGGCGGGTGTCACTCTCTCGGCCCTCGCCAGCGTCGCCTGGATCCTACTCAGCAAGATCATGCGCTTCAGTCCCATCTCGGCGATGATCGCGTAGCAGCGCGAGGCCTTCGAGGTTTGAGCTGATGCTCGCCAATGAGCGGTGGCTGATTTTCTATTTTTCCTTTTTCCTCGATAACACGTGAATTTATCTTGAATAAGCTCGAGACTGATGCTTTTGTTTGAGATAATAATGGGGGGAATTTTTTTTATTTCGGTTAAACAAAAAAGCAGCCCCGCGAACCTCGAAGGTAGATGTAACAGTAATGTCAAATAAAAAGATCAAACAATTTTAACGGTGCAGTATAATTAAGTATACAGCTACAGCTTTACGTGTTTAGTATTTGCTGCGTTGCGAGTGTGTGTGTGTGTGTGTGTGTGTGTGTGTGCAATACAATTTTTGCGACAATTTTTTTTATTGACACGTGATGCGTGTTGTGTCGGAGTTGATTGCATTTTTGTAAAAAAAAAAATTGTTCAAAAAATGCGAGTGCAGTAAAGTTTTCTGTAATCACACCAATTTTGACGGATGGTACGTATACTATTATTATTAGTTTTAAAAATATAAATTTTAGTGTGGTTTTGTGCGTGTTGGTTTTTTTTTTTTTTTTTTTTTAAACAAATAAAAATTTCATTTCGTGCGACAATTATGTAAAAAGATGAAGTTCAAATGTCAGCCAGGCCGTGTTGCTGCTTTTGGCTTAGCAAACGAGAAATAATAAAATTGTGATAAGTATTCTTTGATATAAATGTATGCATCGATAAATCAATAAATAGGTTTATTTAAGCGTCAATTTGAAGACTTTATAAAAAAAAAAAAAAAAAACAACTTTAGCGAGTACTTACTGTTACGTGGGAAGACTTGGGCACAATCATTTTGTGGATTTTTCGACTTTTTGAAAGGAAATTTTTTTTTTTTGGCATAAAATATATTTAAATACTTTGACTATTATTTTTTCTAATTTATTTCTTCTTTCAAATTGCACGGGGTCGTTCTGGTTGGAAAAAGTATTATCAAGCAATGGGTTGTCAGTTGTATTTTAAATGAATTTTTTTAGCATAAATAAAGCATCGCTTTTCAATGAAAAAATTGTATTTGAAAAAGTATATGTGTCCAAGTCTGAATATATCTAATTGATACCTGGTTACTGATGCATAAATCGTTAATTATATAACGGACTGATCGAGGAATCTCAAATAAACAAAATTTGAAACTTACACACATAAATATATATAAACATATGCCTTAAATAATTTTTTGTTTCCACTCGTGCTCTCACTTTAAATCAAAAAATAAAATAAAATGTGATCCATATGCTTTACGAAAAAAATTAACGGGGGCATTTTTGTTGATGTACACAAGCAAGCGCATGTGCGTGTATTGCATTACTTATTTATACATAAACTTGAATAAAGATGCGTTACCTATAAAATTAAAGAAAACATTATAAAAGCGCCTTGAAATATTATATGTATATATATAATCTACACTGTCATCAGCTTTTGCTAAAATATTGCAGGTTTCGTGAAGCTATATGAATAAATAAATAAATTGTTAAATGTACAAAATTTGTCTTACATCTTTGATTCACCACAAAAAAAAAAAAAAAAAAAAAAAAAACCTTCACATAGAAGTATGAAGCGGGTATTTTATTATTAATTTCATTTATTGGCGTCGTATTGAATATACATAAACCAGTACACTACTAGAGACATTTGATAGTTACATATTTTCATACACACATTACATATGTTCGGGTATAAAAGTGGCTATCGATATATTTTTATGCTAGAAATTCTAGTGTAGCTCTGGACAATTATAAATTAACGAAGTAAAATTGGTCCTCATCGTACATGGGTAAGAATTACATTAGTTTTACGAAGTACTTCAGCGGGTATTTAAAAAACTCGGGCGCACAGCGCCACCTCAAGTCTTCTCCTGGAAGCTGTTGGATCGCACGTCGTACGAGGGTAAGTGGGTAACCCAAAGTCGATGATGATATGGTACTTAATGATTTGTTTTATATAAGTGAATCAATAAACATGTATATATATAAATATCCTAAAATCCCAAAACCCTCTTTCTCCGAAATCTCATGAAAAAAAGAAAAAAAACCAAATCTTTGTACCCACACAGTGGATCGATGGTAGAAAATATTCGATCACTGCCAGTTACGTAAGCCACGTGAGAAAAAAAAGCTCCTCGCATATTCATATCACCTGGAACCTACCTGAACCTGAACCCTTGCTAAAAAAAAAAAAAAAATAAAAAAAAAAAAAAAAAATCTAGTTCGTACAGCAACCACCCATAAAAAAAAACCCCACCAAAAAGTCACAAGGGGGTAAAAACCACGTGTCCCCCCTCTCCCCAACCCAAACAAACAAACAAAAAATTATAAACACCCCAACCTCCCTACCATCGACTCTGTGTGCCCCCACCTATTTAAAAGCCTCTGCCAGGAAAACGGCTGCAGGAAAATCAAATCGAGCCCTCGACGGCGCACGACACCTCGGCGCAGCCTCTCCACTCCTCCTCCCTGCATAAATATATACCCTCCAGATGCCATCTCTCTCTCTCTCTCTCCGACTCCAAAACGAAGACCGTATATCCATCAGAGAGCGGCCACAGCCGGAGCAGCAAGTTCGAGTCGGTGGTCATACCTGCGTTTTCAAGACTAATAGGTATATATACACAGCTGCTCCGGGGGGGGTGTATGTGTGTGTGTCCGCGCGTGTACAGATAGACAGCCGAGGGGGGTGGGGGTGGGGGACGTAGAGAGAAAAAAAGGTTCTTTTTTTTCCCCCCCGTAAAACCGGGGCCGAGAGGAGCAACAACAACAACAGTAACCACGAGGCGCAAGAGCTCGTTGCAGGAGCGTCGGGAGCAGCAGGAGGAGGACGAGCAGCCGCACGAGCTCAAGTGCTTCTCCTCGTCGTCGTCCTCCTGCTCGTTCGGCTCTTACACTACGGCCTTTGGCTCCTCGGAGCCGTTATCCGGTCCCCGCGGCAGCCCCAACAGCGGCACCACCATTGCAGAGAGCGAGAGAAGGCTGCTGCAGCAGCACCACCACCACCAGCAACGCAAGGCCAGCTGCGGCAGCAGCGGCAGGCGATTGAGCATCAGTAGGAGCGCCATGGCCGACGCCACCACCTCCTCGGGCTATGGTAACGACCAACAGGCCTCGACCTCGAAGCCAAGGGGCTCGATCAGCGATCCCACCGCCGTTGTGCCCGACCACGGGGGCAACTCCACCACTGGCACCAAGGTTGTACACCATACATCGTATACATATCAATCCCCCCCCCACACTCTCCAACCACCACCTACAAGCTTAAATATATATGGATTGTTAAACAACCTCCCCTCCCCCCCTTTTTTTTTTACCTGTCTGTATGTCCGTGTGGTACATGGGTTTACGGGCGATCTTAATCCCTCCGTGTGTGATTCTATAGGTGCATCTGTCCCACTGTGTGTGTATATATATATATACTTACGTCACGATGTGTATGATGTAGGGTGGCCGTCGCGTGGATTAATTAAGCTCAAATAAGGTCTCTCTACCTTCGTTTTGCCCACCCCGCCACCCCTTCACTTTTTTCACGCGTCGAATCCCTGGCCTTGATGGGCTTGTACATGCGATACGTAGTGTATGTACACAACCGTGGGATACATCATCGGAGGGATGATTTACACCCCCCTTAGATCGGCATTGGGACATTTATACGCGTTTGTCCCCTAAAATCACACGTTGTATTTTTTTTTTTTTTTTTTTTTATCATTTTTCGTTTTTAGATCGACCTCTCATTGTTATTGAAACCCACATGGCAGTATACATATATAGAGTCGTTAGTCAACTGTACAGCGTGTCTCTAACGCGCGTACGCTTAAATTAATTTGTATCATATATGTATATATAAGCGAATGAGCCTGGGAACCGAGAGCGTATAGCTCCTTCGTCAACATGTGTATATATAAATATTATACGTATATCAGGAACTCCGCGGTATGTATAAATATGTATAATCGTGTAGCCCCGCTTAAAGTGATCTCTATGTACGAATGTAATTATAGTGACTGTCGAAAGAAAGCGGGTTCCTTTTTTTTTTTTTTTTTTTTTTTCAACTCGTTAATTAAAAGCTGTTTCGACGAATCTCTCAACTGGGCCGATGGATAAAAATAAACCGTTTTATCAGAGAGAGAGACGACGATCATGATGATGACTGATGGAGCTTTGTCAAGTGTAATACATGTATACATACGTACGTCGCAGCGGGTGCTCGCGTGTGATGATTATATCGAAATCAGTGTGTGTGTGTGTGTGTACCACACGGGCAAACAGACCACGCGACAGTCTCCTCCTTTTTTTTTCTCAATACCCTCCTGTTATATATATATACCGCATGGAGCGTAAGAAAGAGATGAATTTAAAAAACGAAGGACTGCGCGTTGGCTTATGCAAAAAAAAAAAAAAAAAAAGAGAGCGAACAAACCGCGTGTCGTTGCGCAACAGCGAGAGCTTTTTTTTTTTTTTTTTCTCTTCGTCGTTTCAGAGCGATATGATGCTGCGGAGCCGGCGTCCGTGCGTATATCACGTGTGCTTTACAATACCATATATATATATACGTGTCTTTTCGCGTTCGCGGGGGTATACAGTCTAATGGACGGGGTAATCGCTCGTTGCGCTATTTACGCATCGGTATAACATACACCACCCGCTGTTGTAGCACGAGGAGTCGCTTCGCGGGAGTGGTCGAGCATGTTCATGTTTCTGCCGAGAAAGGTTGTGCAATAAATCGTCCTTTACACCGATAGTCGTTGCGAATGTGTATTTTTTTTTTTTTTTTTTTCTTTCGTGCAATGATTATTCGGGTTGAGCGAGTGTGTGGGCCAAGTGAGACAAAAAAAAGGGGGGCAGTCCTTCGGTCGAACTGTGTGTATTGTGCGTTACGTGCGCCCATAACTCTTTTCTCCTACGGACACCTAACATACCATTTTTTTTTTTTTTTTGTGCCTCCCTCTCTCGAATCCATAGTCAAGATCGACCAGAGTAGCTTTCGCAAACGACTTTTATTGATTATTTTCTCGATACACCCACCACGTGCTTACGTACATATAGTGTGTAGAAAAGACTGCAGTGCATCTTTTTCACTTCTTCCACACTTTTTTTTTTTTTTTTACTTTATTATGTACAGTGATTTCGAAACGTGGACATATAAATTCGTTTGGACACTTGATTGGGGCTGTTTTTTTTTTTTCTCGTTTTCACTTTCATAATACATATAATATACACGTGCACCGAATTTCAAGATGAAACTCAAATCGAGCGAGTACGCACACGCACCAATTTTTCATCGGGGCTGAGGTCTTCGAAGGTCACGCATTTGTTCCAATCATCGGGGATTTTTTTGTTACGATCGAAAAATAAGTAGACAAAAAAAAGTGTTTAATATAGGTGCCGTTAATGTGGATTCCAATAAATAAAAAAAAAAAAAAAGGAAAAGGAAAATATATCGTATCGATCATTTTGCACACTCGCAGACAAACCTATGCACACGTATGCACCTACATGAGAAGGGCCGCGCGTTCGATAAAATTTTATAAGCGTCTTATGAGGTACACTTGTGTGTATGAATAATAATAAAAAAAAAATCTTTTTTAAACTATATCTCTGCGCCCAGACCTCTGTCTTTTGACTATGGACCATGGAATATGCGATTACGAAATGGTCATTGTTGTTGATTTCAGAGCCTGGAGGCAACAAATAATGCCTTTCACGGCGCGAGAAAATTAGTAAGTAAGACAATAATCACCTATACCTTTTTTTTTTTTTTTTTAATCTTTGCTATAATACATATACACACTACATAATTGTACACGCGACTCATCAAGTCGCCGTTTTTTGTGTGATAACTCGACCAATACATTTGTTTTTGTGATTAATATGTAACATTTTAATATACGATATACAATTTTTTTTTTTTTACTTTTCTAATTGTTGGTTCAAATCTTTTCTTACTAATGTAACGTTGTTTACTTACATGTATTTTTGTGTAAACAGTCTTACCATTTCGTTTTTTCTATGTATACATATAACATATATAAAGTTATGGTATTATTATCATGTTGTACACACGACGATGTATGTTTTGTATGTACATGTAAATATATATTTTTCTTACATGCATCGAGACGACACAAAGTACGATTTAAAGCAAGACTTTGTAGAAAATAAGAAGAAAAGAAAAAAAAAAAAAAACTTGTTTCAAATCTTTTCGTACATACGAACCATTGCCATTCCACAACACTGATCCCACACTCATACATGATTGTTTTTCACACTAATTTTTCCGTATCTTGATTTAACATCATCGCTTTTATCCATCACTAATTCATCAATTTATTTTTCAAAGCACGTGGATACTATTGATGAGCATAAAACCTTGTCATCGATCAAATCGATGTTCCAATTAATGGATTTAAAAAAAAAAAAAAAAAAAAAAAATGCGCCTCATCTCATTCATGTTAAGCATTCGACTAAAACGAAGCACGTATAATAACGATCCTCCGGCTAATATTTACATAATACCCTCTTTGTACAGCAGTAGCGTAAACCATAAGCTTACATTATTATTATTATTATTATTACATAATGTACCATATCACGTTTTAACCAAAAGTAACAAGTAACATGTATGTAATATATACCGTGTAAGCTAATATTATACAATTCGATTGTTGCATATACATTATATATCTTCTCGTGTATGATTATTGATTGTTGTGCCTGTCCCGGGTTGGTGGTGCGCTTTTGTGTTTTTTTAACAATGGACGCGACGAACAATTTTTCAGGAGCCAAAGTCGAGCGCTTTGAAGAAGGCCGGGAGATATCGGAGCCGCTCGTTGTCCGCCAGCAGCACCGACAGCTACAGCTCGGGTAAGCTTTTTTCTTCTTCTTCTTCTTCTTTTTGTTTTCACTTGTGGACTTTTCATAAATGCACATTTAAACCTATATAACGTATACACTTATACCGTAGAAGTAGACTTTTTTTACACGCACCCTCCTCTTTCTCTCTTCCCTCATTTTCATTCTGTATCGTACACTGTACGAGAGACCCGTAGTGTGCGAATGTGGACAATGACTAAATTTATTTTATACAGCCCATCCTTTTTAACTCGTAGGTAACTAGAATACATTTTTTTTATATCTATGATGCACATGTTGTATATGGCGCGTGTCGCACTTTATCACATGACTGAGTCCTCTTGCTTGTTTGTCTCTCTATCGCTCGATACTTTCTATCTCTCTCTTGCACACACCCAAGCTCCTCTCTTGAGTCTCTTGTATGCTATATAGATTTTTATAAATTAGAACCCCTAAGTACATTAGATTAAGTTGTTGATCTTTTGAACATGTCGAAGCAACTGTTGGAAACCTGTAAAAAGTAGTCGCACGTTGTAGTCGTGCATTGAGTATAAATTTGCTTCACATAGATTTTATAGCAAAAATTATGTTAAAAGTTCATTTTAATCGTTTAGAGCTTTTTGATTATTATACCAAAACGAATATAAACCTGCAACGATTAGAGTTAGCTTGTTGCACACACTTTGGATATATAAGAGTAAATTAGGCTTTGGAAAATAAAAATATCGAGTAAATTAATGAATTTAGAAAAATAAAGCCTTTATTTTACGTACCATACTTGTTAGGCATTTCAAAGTTGCACGACGAACTTGAAAAAAAAAAAAAAAAAAAAAAAAAACGAAGATCGAGAGACCAACGAACCAACTAACCAGTGGATCACGATTTTTTTTTTCTCGTTTTGTTCGTTTATGTATATGTGTACACACACGCTCGCGCCCGCCTGCGCATCCAACTCGTATCCCGTGTGTGTGTGATCATCCCACGTGTCACACCATCACCGTCAAAAATCGATTGCCGGCCCGCAAAAAACTGTAGCGTCTTACACAGGGAGCAGCAGCGAGGAGGACGACGTCTCGCCCCGCGAGAAGATACAAAAGACCGACAAGGGCTTCACGGACTTTTGCGTTCGCAACATCGAGCAGCACGCCTACGGTAGAAGGGAAATCGAGATAGCCGAGCAGGAGATGCCCGGCATCATGGCCCTAAGAAAGCGCGCTCGCGAAGACAAGGTAATACGTCTGGGGGTTTTTTTTCTCTACCGAAATGAAGTTGTACTTCATTTCCCCCCCCTTCTTATGTTCAAAAACGAAGTTGAACTTCAATTTCGAATTTTCAGCCACTGAAGAACGCGAAAATCGTCGGGTGCACGCACATAAACGCCCAGACGGCGGTGCTGGTGGAGACGCTGGTTGAACTCGGGGCCCAGGTGCGATGGGCCGCGTGCAACATATACTCGACGCAGAACGAGGTGGCCGCGGCTTTGGCCTACGCGGGCTACTCGGTGTACGCGTGGCGGGCCGAGACCGAGGAGGACTTTTGGTGGTGCATCGACAAGTGCATCGCCGCCGAGAATTGGCAGCCCAACATGATACTCGACGACGGGGGCGACGCCACGCACCTCATGCTCAAGAAGTACAACGCGATGTTTAAGATGATCAAGGGTGAGGAGAGGGTGTATGGTGATGTTTATTATATTATACGCGTCGACCACCTTTGGGATGTTACGTTTGTTCACGATTTTTTTTTTTTTGTTTTTTTTTGTTTTTTTTTTTTTTTTGGTGTTGTTGCGTCCTCGATAAAGGCATCGTCGAGGAAAGCGTGACGGGGGTTCATCGGCTCTACCAGCTGTCCAAGGCGGGCAAGCTCTCCGTACCGGCGATGAACGTCAACGACAGCGTCACCAAGACCAAGTTCGATAATCTTTACAGCTGTCGGGAGAGCATCATCGACAGGTACACCTTATGGACTTTTTTTTGGCTGGAATTTACATTCAAATTGGATACTTTGTACGGATTTTCATTAAAAAAGTGGTGTCAAACCCAAGTTCCCGCATAGTTGAAACTCTACTTGATTTTTTTTCGGTTTAAATGTATTCTGTTGTACACGTCGTTCTTTACTTGCTCGCCAAAAATATATGATACATATTTCCGAGGCAGCCTGAAGAGATCGACCGACATAATGTTTGGCGGGAAACAGATAGTCATATGCGGCTACGGCGAGGTGGGCAAGGGCTGCTGCCAGGCCCTCAAGGGCTTGGGTTGCTGCGTCTACATCACCGAGATCGATCCCATATGTGCCCTGCAGGCTTGGTACGATTGATCCTCTGTATGCACTTGAGAACAGCCAAATGTGCTTTCTCGCGATGAACAGTCAATTGAGGTGGCGACTATTTGTATTTATTTGCAGTATGGACGGTTTCCGGGTGGTCAAGCTGAACGAGGTCATCAGGTCCGTGGACGTAGTGATCACAGCCACCGGCAACAAGAACGTGGTGACGCGCGAGCTGATGGACAAAATGAAGAACGGCTGCGTCGTGTGCAACATGGGCCACAGCAACACGGAAATCGATGTCGTGAGTTTTCAAAAGCTAGAGCACACGCGTTGAATCGGCACACATTGTCTTTTTTTTCCCCACAACAGAATAGCCTACGCACTTCGGACTTGACGTGGGAGAAGGTGCGCTCGCAGGTGGACCACGTCATCTGGCCGGACGGCAAGCGCATCGTGCTCCTGGCAGAGGGTCGGCTCGTCAACCTCTCGTGTTCCAGTATTCCGTCCTTCGTAGTTTCCATTACGGCCGCGACCCAGGCGCTCGCCCTCATCGAGCTCTTCAACGCACCCCAGGGCCGCTACAAGAGCGACGTTTACCTACTGCCCAAGAAAATGGGTGAGTTTCTTTTTTTTTTTTTTTTTTTTTTTTTTTTATTGGGGGAAAAAAATGATTTAACGCTGATTTTTGCCTCGATTAGACGAGTACGTCGCGTCCCTGCATCTGCCTACGTTTGACGCTCATTTGACCGAGTTGACGGACGAGCAGGCAAAGTACATGGGTCTCAACAAAACGGGGCCCTTCAAACCTAATTACTATCGGTGAGTAGCTCTGGACGGTTTTGCCAATAATAATAATAATCTTATCGATGTTGCGAGCATACCTATACATACAGGCTCCTTTTGCTGTCTTTTCGTGGCATAACATCGATATTCTGGTTTCATTGTATACTTGATAGTTTTATTTTATTTATTTATTTTTTTTTTTTCTGAAAACTCATAGATGTGGTATAAGTGCAGTTTTATTGGTACCATTTCATTTCATTTTTTTTTTTTTTTTTTTTTTTTACTACACATGACGTAGGTAATAGGGATTTTTCTATCCTTTGTGCATTATTGTTTCTTTTTATGTAGCAAGTTCTCGAAAATTTTTCGAAAAGTTCTATAGAGTTAATCAAAAGACTCATTATGACCTACCTTCTTTCCTTTTTTTTTTTTTTTTACCATTGACATCGCTGTACGTAAAAATATTTCTAAAGTTGATTATTGTTGTCGAAAAAGCATGATGTTATATTATTTTGATGTTTGTTTATCACTGGTTTCTCAAAATTTTTATTTCAATCATCGTATCGGTGGTTGGATAATAGAAACAGTTATTTAACATTTGGGCGAAAGGAGGAGCTAATTCAGAACTAATTATGTAGAGACAGTACGACTATTTTAGTTACCAGGTGAGTAAATTTAAAGGGAACAATTTTTTTTTTCAATTATAAAATTGCTCTTAGGATTACTGAGAAAATTTTTTAAATCTCACTGCCACTAAATTAAAAAAAAAAAAAAAAACTGTCTGAATTAGCTGAATCTTGAACTTACATCTGAAGAAGGTATTTATTATACCGAACCGTCGGTGTGTATACTTTTTTCTCTGTAACTCTGTTTGGTATGATTCTTCTTCAAAAATCATCGTTTTCTTCTTCAATTTGTTAACAATAAAAAAAAAAATTAATTAAAAAAAAACAATTAACTAAGAAAGTAAAAAGTTTTCCTACTGAAAGTATTTAATAAAAATATTTTTATGTCTACAGATGCCTTTCTCAAATCGTGGCGTTTCGCATGAAAAAATTTTTTCAAAGTACTAATAAGTAGACGACGATTAGAGAGCAATATATATATAACGTGATGCACGTTGACGATTTAACTTACAGTGACAAAAACATAAAATCAAAACTCTATGTCTCACAGAATTTAAAAATTTATTTTTTTATTCGTCACGAAACGATAGTATGTATAAAAAAGAAAAAGAAAAATAATGTACAAAAAAGAGAAAAATGTGTTTAAACTGCTCAAAACTCACAAATCATTGATCGATTACTCGTAACGTTGAATTTGTTCGTTTCAGCTACTAATTTGGAAAATGGTCTGGATAAGAGAGAGAAAGAAAAATATAGACATGGAAAGAGAAAAACTTAGTTTAAAAATTGTTGTCAATCGGTTTGTCGTTCCGATCCATCCGACAAGTAGAAAAAAAGGGATTAATTGTTAAGAAAAGCAGTATTTCCAAGGTGAAGTAGAGAAGTGAAAAAGAGAAATTTTGCCCGTTTTCTTCCTCTGAAATGTTGTAACGAAAAATGTCAAGAAAAAAAAAATACATACACACGCATACACACGTACGTACATCATTCCAAATGAATGAGTTCGATTACTGTATTTTGAAGAGAAAAACAAAAAAAAAGAAAAAAAAAAAAAAAAAAAAAAAGAAGAATTTTGTTCGCTTGTACATACCTCATGTTATGCTCGATTAGTCGAGTACAGCGTTGTGTAACGACTAATTATAGGTATATCCTTAAAGGGAAGAAACGAAACGATCGAAATGTGCAGGATAAAAAAAAAAAACATGAAATGTAGTTTATATTTTGTAAATATGTGTCGAGCAAGTGTATCTTGTTATTGGGCCAGGGGTAGCGTCAAACGTCAATTGTATGGACGGGTTCACGTACTCGATGAATGGTTTTAACAGGCGGTTTGAACAAAACAAAAAAATCTATTTCCCCGATTGTGCGAGTCGAATCCATTTTTATTATTTGTTTCGTTCACCAGAATTATATCTATGTGTATTATGCTCAATCCCGAGAAATAAATATTTCTCCATAAGCCTCGAATCTATTGTTTTTGTTTATTTATTAATTTTTCTTTTTTTTAATAAAAGTTTACGAATGACCTACAACTGACTTGGTCGCTGTATCAGTATTTTTCTTATAATATTTTAAACACGCAAAAATACGTAATACTTGTATTACGTAGTTATTCCAACTGGTCTCTTGATTAAGTGCAGTATTAAATGACTTTAATTCTGGTTCGATGATGGAAAATTGATTTTTTCAAACTCGTTATATACATGTGACAGATAATTAATAAAAACCCGAATTGTGCAAGTTTGTTCACACGATCGATTGATAAAAATTGCAAATCAATATCTGACTTGAACATTAAAAAGGATGTTTTTGGTTCAAAGAAATTAAAGAACAACAAACTGCCAGACTTGGGCACTGATATTTTTGCTAGAAATCTAATAAATAATTTGAACTAAGAAATATTTTTTTGATTCCTTACAAAAATCGTTATTATAAAAAAATTTCTTGTACTTATCTGCCAGAAAATACATTTTTTCTGGCACTTTGATGTGATTTTTTACCTAAAAGAATGCACTTTGTTAAAGGAAAGAAAAAAATTTTTTGAAGCGTTTGAAAATCCATAAAACAGTTGTGCCCAAGTCTGTAAACTTCGAATTATCTAAACAAATTGTCAACTGTTACAACACAGAGTCAAACAAAATCAGTGAGCAAAGAGCGAACGATTTAGTCTCGACATAGTAGAGAGCTTAGACGTACCGAAGTAGATAGTGTGTAAAATTAGTACGAAAAATGAGAGAATAAAGAGAAAGAAAGTTTCAATACCAAACACCGAGTGTTAGATAAAAAGAACACGCGGAAAGAAAAAAAGTGGAATCGGAAAAAAATTTATACGTAATTAAGTACTCAGGAATTGATCCACGAGAAATCGCGGGTCGTTAAATTGAAAAAAAAAGGAGGATGATAATAAACTGTACAGACATAGAACGTCTTATTTTTAACGACAAGAATTCCCCGGACTTTAAGGAAGATTTTTTAAACGGCTGCAGTAGTTTCGACTGTTTAGTATAATTTTTATGTTTTAAGTTTATTTCACTGTTATTAATGATGTAGATGCAAAAAAAAATTGTTCCTACCGTTTTCATACGTGACATTTGATCGAGAAATGAAGTGTTAAGGAAAAAAAAAAAAAAAAAAAAAAAAAAAAAAAAAAAAAGACGAGAGGCCTAAATATTTTTTTGAAGCTTATTGCGCTCGACGTCAGCAAAGTCTTGTCGTTTATACGTTAGTTTTGTGAAATATTGTTTTTTTTGTTCTTTAGTGCTAATGTTGAATTGTTGGAAAAGAGGAGTCGTGAAGTAACCAATCAACAAATCAGTATGAACAAAATAAATTTTGCAGGGATGTCTCGTTAAACATTGTGCGTCATTTATTTTATTATTATATAATTAAGAAAATTATCCAATGTTTCATTTTTTTTTTTAATCGACAGTTTTTATGAAATTAAAATTTTCGTGTAATAAAAAAACTGGTTTACTTTCATTCGTTTTGCATTACTGTTAAGTTGTTTATTTTTTGTAGAACCTTATTTATTTCCTTGTTTTATGTCGATTTTTTTCGTTGTTTCAGGTAGGAAACTTCAAGTTAATTTCTTATTTTTAACAGTTTTTTTTCAAGTACCAAGCCCATCTCCTTCCTTGAATTACCAAATTTTTGAATAAAATATATCGCTAAGAGGAGCTGTTTCACCCTCGGTTGTGATGAATTTTTTTTTTTGAAGGTAGGTATCAGAATAATTTATATTGTGTTAAAGAGAGTAAATTTTTTCTTTATTTTTACCGAAGTAAAATATGTAAAACAAGTACCGTTGTTGCCTTTATTAAATATAAAAACCTTAAAACTAAACTCTATATACGTTGTAATAAATACAATAAAAAACGAGGATAAGGTAGTGACTTGAGAAAATTTTTTTGACATAATTCTAAAGCATAAGTTATAAGAAGTACAAATAAAGGTCTTTGTAGGAATACAAAAGCAGAGATAAATATAAGTATCAATACAGAGCTTACTATTTATGCAGTGGTATCTGCATATTACATAAAGCATTTTAACGTTGCAAATTCGTGCTATTTGCATCTCTTTTCTTGACTAACCATAAATACATATAATTTTTCAAAGATAAATATAATGGGTTCATTCGGACGGTAAAAATGGGTCTTACACCACAAGGTTGACAAGAAAAAATATTGTCTTTGTAATGCATGGATTCTCTCAATGCATGCAGTAAGATTACCATTTTTGTGACACAACTGTAATTGCTTCAAGGCAAAGTCTTGAATAGGAAAATATTTTTCCCTCGAGTGGATCTTCTCAAGGCTTTCTCAGTCAAATTTCAAAACTAAACACTCTCAACTTTTCATCTTACAAAAATATAATATCTTATGAGCGTACATTCTTATCACAATTAAAATCCGCGATTCATGTACCTACTTAAAAAAAACTGACTTCAACAAATACCTGAAAAGTATCGTGTATTTAGAAATCAAATTAATTTGTGATAAATGAATCGAATAACGAAGATAAGTACAGATAGAAGTAGAAGAGAAAAAAAATCAAATTTGGAAAAATAATAAATTCAACCAGTTAAAAGTCACGCAACATTCAGAGAAGATAGAATCGTCCATCGATCGCTTAGCGAATCATAAAAATATAATATACCGTAACACTATAATATGATATATAGTCTCAACATTCGATAAAAACGATATATATGTATATGTTCCCCAAAATATTGCTCCAATCATTTAACCGTTTAATCTCATTCCACACTGATGAGACTATTAATTAAAGCTTTTTGTCTATATTATATTATATGGAATGTTTTTTCACGCAACTTACAATCCTGTTCGATACTAGGAAAGAAAAAAAGTCTTAAATTCGCGTAGTTTCGAAATATCGAAGAATCAAAGTCTCGGCGAATTTTCTACTTAACTTACACGGGTAATATCAATCGCGTAAAACTAACAACCAACTCCGTTTCATGAGCGGTTTTTCCTCGCTATTAAGTACGTGCGGAAAAATGCTCGTTTTCAAAGACCAATGTGTATCAAAATATAGTACCATTAAGACGGAAAGTTCGACTGAATCTTCGCGATTGCAAAACAAATATATGTCCACAACAATAAATACAATCATTGGACTAAAAAAAAAAAACAATATCTCGTGGCTGTCCAAGTAAATTAATAAAAAATCATTCGCATGTAGATTCATTTTACAATCGGTACGAAAAGTCCAGTGAATTCAATTCCCATAGTAGTGCAATCACCTTTACAATCGATCCTTGAATACAATAGCAGTCTCAATCTTCTGTTGCTTCACGCGGGTATATTTATTACTTTATTGTTTACTGTTACAAAAATACAGTATACACCAAATACTTGCCACTGCTCGGAAAGGGAGGGGGTTTTATGAACCATTGGATCTAAAAACTCGAGCTTTTTTTACGATAACTCGAGAAACTTATGTAGGCTCGGCGAAATGTGCAGGTGGCAGTCGAAAAATCGCGCGTTCACATGAATACAGTGACAAAAGCAACCTTGTCACTTTTTACATCTCAGTGCTCGTAAGTGTAAGCTCATTGTGCCTCCACAAGCGTTTGGACATCACCTCGTGGAAAAAAGTTTATCCTTTTTTCACAAGTGGAAGGAAAAATGATACAAGCACGAGGAGGATGTGCCAAGTTGCCAACGAGACGCGCATCTTCCTCCGTGATGTACGGGATGTGTAATGAAAAGTAAAAATAATAAAAAGGAAAATGCCTTCACATGAGCACGCAGCAGCTTTTGTCCGTCCTACTGTCGCCTATGATCTCGCTGGTGTTGCCGATGAATCTCCTGAAATCGTTGCCGCTGCATATCTCAGCGTTGGGTAATGGCGTTGCGTTGGTGGAGTTACCGTTGCTGTCCAGCTGCTGAACTGAAGCTCCCGACCCGGTGACGCCGGTTCGGCTCTGGGCTCGCTGTTTCTTCAGGTCGGAGAGTGACTTGACGAAGACGACCGATACATGGATGTTGATCTTGCCGTTCTGCTCGTCCGTCGACGTCGCGTAGATGGACTGCTGTTGCTGGTACTGGTTTTGGTGCTGGTGTTGCTGGTTCGCGTCCTGAGGTGGCTCTGTAGGGTTCACGGGGCAAAACAAAAGCTGAGAAGGTGGTCGGAGGCTTTTTAGGGGTACAGGGGGATTTGGGCTCGACGCAAACGTGCCAACAACTACTCGTACCTTTGGAGTTGAGAACTTTTTCAAGGTGTGCATTTGTTTTAAGATACAGTTTTTGTGTTTTACTGGCTTGAAAAAATTCTTCAGGTACAATTTTAGTGAGAGTCAATACGAAGCACAAAATGCAAAAAACGTCGTTAACAAGGAAAAATTTATTTTGTGTGTAAGCAACAATCAAACATTTTTTACTGCCACCTTCATGCAATAATGGTGAGCTTGAAAGGCTTAAAGGTGAATGAAAAATCAAATACGGTTCGGTAAAAGAAACAAGCATTTCAAATATGTGTAGTGTAAAAGTATTTTAAAATGTATGAAATATCAGCACTACTGGGAATAATAATAAGAAATAAAAGTTTATTTTTGTAATAGCTATTGTTTCACGGTAAATTTGAAATACTTCTTTCTTCTAATAGTTTAGTGTTTCAAAAAAAATATTAGATTTAATGATAAAAAAAAATCCTAATTTTTTTACTATCGAAAAAATAAAATATAGTTTATTCGTAAAAGTTATAGTTTGTTAAGTAATCACTATAAATAGTTAAAAGATTTTCAAATTAGCGTAATAAACTAAATTATTTAAGAACTAAAACTACATCAGGAGTTTAAAGTGAAAAAAATTCATGGAAAACGCAGAATTTTCACACTCACAAGTATTTATTGCTTCATGCTTAGTATGATATGTTTTTCTAAGGTAGATCTTATAAACTATTAAATTTTCAAAAGATTCTTGTTTTTATTTATTTTTGCGCACGAAACAGTCTGTTTTTTTATTGTTATTACTGGCAGTTTCTATTTGCATTTATTTGGCAAATTGATTATATTAAGATAAAATATGGTCTAAAATCTGCAAAAGGCATAATATTTTATTAATACTGTTGATCCAATCTCTCGATCTTGATATTTGGCTCTTGATTTATATACTTTTCATAGGTAAAAAGCTTACCTATATACATGTTTAGTACGTATGTGTAAGATTCATGATTGTTTGATAAATAAATTATAGTACTTAAAAAAATCGCCTCAAAGACAAATTAGTAATAAGAAACACTAAATTTTATAGTAAAGCTACAATTACCTACTGAGATACATAAATAAATTCACTTTCTTGTGGTAACGCATTTTGATTTGAGCTGTGTACCTAATAGTTGATTCGTCTTTTTTTCAAGTTCCAATTTTATTAATAATTGATACAGGTTTTTTAATGAAATTAATGCAAATAATTGCTCAGAATGAGATATTTTCAATTGATGCATTAAACGACAATATTTTAGAAATGTACACTCAAAGCATTGTAGATACGGTATTAAAAAGGTTAGTGTCGATGAGAAAAAAAATTTTAAAGGAATATAGTAAAGCAGTATTACAAGTAAATTATTAGCCTCATCTACACATACACTTCTTTATTAATTAATGAAGTTTTATAAACAAGAACCAAGTTTGCTTGAAAGATTTGGAGAGTGTGTTTTGTCCTCATTAACTATATCAAATTTTCAAATCTATGTGGTAATTCAATATTGATTGAAAGTTGTCTTTTTTGGGGAAATACGAAGCAACATTGTGGGAAAAAATGGATGCTAGTATACTTCATTATTTATCATATTTTTTATTACTCCAGAAAAAAAATTAAATCATTATATTGCACGATACGTATTTTAACTGAAGTAATATAGTTACACACTCGTATTGACAGGATTAATCAATTTATTAATATTAGGATATATCGTAAACGTCATCGTAATAATCGTTATTTAGAATAACGCTCAGAATCAGGAAAGACATGCTTTGTAAATTAAGGTCAACGATCAAAAAATTCATTAAAAATGAGTAAATACCTCTTGCCAAAACACCTTAATTACCTTAAACTACTATTTATCATTACATTAACGTACTAATGTACAGCACCCTGAGACATTACATAGTCGAAGATTAATTATAAAAAGAGCTAAAAACGATTTTTTAATGTAATAGTTAAAGATATGTTTCATATTTCATTGAAGATAATTACTGTACAAAGATTTTTGTATGTTTTTTCTGTCTTGTAAATAAAAATTAGATTTAATTAAAAATGTGCATGTTACAAAAAAAATTTCTACACTTAGAGAAATAGGAAAGTTACATAAAAAACTGACCTCATTAATTATATATTTTTCATTTTTATACACACACCCGGTCGGGGAAGGTGAAGGTGCGCAGCATAGGAAGAGATAAAACACAGAGACTCTATGTAAGTGATTTTAGTGGTCTTATTTACAAAAAAAAAGTTGAAAAAACTGCATATACACTTTTTTACAATGTGATTATTCGAGCACACAAAAAAAAGTTAATATACGTGTGTTTACAAATAATATTACTATGTTTTACAAATGTCAACTACTGCATCGAAAAATCATAATATTCGTTATTACGCTATTCTCCCATCCTAACAAAACATAACAGGATACTCATAAAAAAAAAAAAAAAAAAAAATAAATAAAAAAATATCAAACTAAAAAAAAAACCACCTTTTACCACAACAGTCTACTGTACCATAACCAATGCAAGCGTAAATAGCTGCGGTATCTACCTGAGTCTTTGTCGACGTCCTCGTGAAGGAAAGAGTCGTTGTCTTTGCCCTCGGGCGCCCGACGCACCGCCTGCGTCAGCGCCGTTGAGTCCGCATCGTCCATTCCATTCTCCAACACGCTTGCGCTACCCTCCGACAACTGCATACTAGACCCTGAATTTCCATACGTGTGCTGCAATACAGTCATAAATAAAATGTTCAATTTTTATCTAAACGGTATACGAAAAAAAAAAAAAAAAAAAAAAAAAAAAAAACTAACGCACCTGTTGTGCTTGGAGCATAAGCCTAGCTTCTTCCTGCGCATCCTTCTTGGTCGTGAGCACTTTGTCGCGAATCGACGTCCTTCTAACGCTCTGCGTCCTCGTATTGATACTCTGCGACCTACGTACACGCCTGTTTTGCGCCTCGCGTAGTTTCTTGCTTTCCTGCTCTGTCCTCAATTCCATGATGCGTTCGCGAATTTCCGGGTCCTCGCAGATGTCCGCTGGCGTCTCCTCGTGCTTGTTCTTGGCGTTCAGGTCCGCACCATTTTGCACCAAGAGCTCGAGGACTTCCAACTGTCGGGGTAGAAAAACGATTAAATAAAATTGCGACAGCGACAATAAAAACGATCAGGAGACGAACTCACGTGGCCCCAGCAAGCAGCAGCGTGAACGGGCTGCCACCTGTCGTTGTCCTCGACGTCGGTCGAAACGTGCTGGTCAAGAAGGAACTCTACGACTCTCAAGTACCCATTAGCTGCCGCTATGTGAAGCTGATAGAAACGATTCATCACGATTATCAACAAATCGGTGTATACAAAGAGAGAGAGAAAATGAAGATGCTCACAGAAGTAGCACCATGATGGTCCTTGTACTCCAAGTCGCCGCCTACGGAGGCCAATTTTTGCAAGTCTAAGAGCATCTGCACCTCTGTCGAGGCGCGCGTCTCGTCGATCAGCTCCTGCGTGACCCCGCGCCGAGCCATCTCGCCCTCGATACAATCCAACGTCTTCTCGTCCTCGCAGATGTCGTACGGCATGTTACCGTCGGCATTCACGGCCAAGAGATTCGCGCCCTTGGCTATGAGGTAGCGCACCAGGTGCAGGTGGCCGCAGGTGGCGGCCGCGTGCAGAGGCGTCCACTTCTCGCTGTCCTCCGCGTTGACGTCCGCCCCAAACTCCACCAACAGCTTCATCATCTCCTCGTTGTCGTCGATGCAGCACTGGTGCAGGGCCGTCAGGCCGTCCTCGTTCGTCGAATCCGGGTTCACGCCCTTCTTCAGCAACCTCCTCACTGTTTGAACAAGTAAAATTTGTATTTTCCACGCTCACGCAATGTACAGGATGATAACCGTGGTGGCACACCCACCCTCGTCAATGTCGTTTCTGGCAGCGGCCTCGAGGAGCATGACGCTGTCGCTGAAGTATATGTGCCGCTTGTTGCTCGTGTGGCGGGTCTGGTGTCGTAGCCACTCCTTTTCGCGCTGGCGCCAGACTTTGAGCTGCTGGAGCCGACGATGGCGGGCCAGGTGGAGCCGCTCCTGGGTCGTCAGCCGCTCGACGTGCACCATCTCCGCGACGAGGTCCGCGTGCTCCATGCTCAGCTGTTTGTAGCTCTTGCAGCTGTATTTACCTGAAAAATCAATCGAGGCGTTATCAAACTTGTCTGTTTGTTTGTTTTATTTGTCTTTGCTGTTACGTCACGTTAAACTCTTTTTTTTTTCTTTTGCAAAAAACGTCCGATTTGGATGGGGAAAAAAAAAAAAAACCAGATGTATCAACAATAATATGTTTGCCTGTGTACCTTTCTGCCTGTACCAAACGACCTTCTTCATATTGGTGAACTCGAGGATCTTGAGCGCGAGCCGCGTGATCATTTCCCCAACTCGGAAAAATATGCAAATGGAAGTGCAAAGAGAGGAAAAGGAAAAAGAAAAATAATAATACGAGCCGCGGCGCTCGCCGGGCGGCGCGTTAATGCGCCGAGGGCTATCAGCATAGGAAAACAAAGCCTCGTTTCTTCTGGTCTTTTTTTTTTTTTTTTTTTTATCTCTCCTCTCTCACCTGTGCGGCGGTGGCAAGAACACGCTTTGTCAATACAGAGCCTCGGTTTGCTCAGGTGGATACCGATCTCTCTTTTTTTTTTTTTTTTTTTTTCATTTGTAAGCGCAGGAAACGCGAGTGCAGCGGATCACCGATTTTTCGCGCGGGAGCAAATATTTGAGGACATTCTTTTTGGTGCGTATAATATTCATATACGATAACAAGAAAACGCAGCCTTAATTATGTCATTAATTTAATAAACGCCATCTCAGCGCGAGATAAGAAAACTGTGTGTGTTTGCACAAGTGCTTTTACACGCGGAGAGAGGGAAAAAATGTATACTTGGAGCTTCTTCTCTTTTATCGTCATTGACGGCGCCAAGCGTTGTGATTGTGTAATATTATTGTAATTTGTGTTGTTTTTCCACATTCGAATCGTCATCGCGCCACTATGTTCCATACATAACGGTGTTATTAGAGAACGTGCCTATCTTTTATCAATTTTTTATTTTTTATTTTTTTTTTTATCGAATCGAGAGGTAGAAGGCTTTTAGGTGTGTATAAACGTAAAAAAGGCTCGCTGTTATCAGTGTTTCTCCAATAAATCGTCAACGTTGACGCTGAAATGCTAATAGAATATCGCGCGAGACGAGCATGACGGGAATGATAATAATAAAAATATTGTGTAAAAACGAGGTGACAGCTGGTCTAGGTGTGTTACGTGCATGGGGAATGTAATGTTGCGTTGCGCAAGATTTTTATTATTATTATGGTGTAACAGCTGTTGTTATACAGGGGGTGCGATTGAGAAAAAAAAAAAAAAAAAAAAAAAAAAAAAAAAAAAAAAAAAAAAAAAAAAAAANGTTTGCATATATATACGAACCTCCGGCGCGCAATCCGCGAGATGTGTTCTCATCACGTGCGATACAATTGGTACAGTATACGTGCACGCGTGCATCAACGATGCACAGCGAGATGATGTAAATATATATATATGTGTATGTGTATGTGTATATGTGTATGTGTATGTGTATGTAGGAGGCAGTGTGCGATATATACCAAATAGCCCATGTAGCCGTGAAATGATAATTATAACGCGGGTCTCGATAGAGATCGTGGATTTTGTGTAGTGATAGAGCGGGTGGATTGTTGAGAGCTCGCCGGGTGCGCGTTTCTGGCTCGATCCGTCGCGAGTGAGTGCAGGTACAAGGATAGAGAGAGAGGAGCTTGTGTCTACTTATGTGAAGGGAGAAAAAAAAAAAAAAAAAAAAAACAACGAAGGGAAAGGTGAAACCGAGGAAAGTGATTGTATGATTTAAATAAGTTACCTTAAGTCAAACTGATACGCGCAACATTAGTGTAGGCAGCTGAATAGACGCTCGTTAAATTATTATTTATCAGCTATAACTTTGATGCGTCAGATACCTATACGTGATTGCGAGATATTAGAAATTTTTTTTTTTTTTTTTCATATTTATTCGCTCTAGAAACTACGATTTCGTCGAAGGCCGGTGAAACTGTTGCAAGGAAAATTAACGCGACAATAGATAAATAATATTACGAGTTTACAGCGATCGTCCGTGCGCGCGTATAACTAAATGAAAAGGGCTTTTATACCTCTAACATTGAGTGAAATTTCTAAAATACATAATTCCTATTGCATTTAGAAAAAAATGTGTGACTTGCTCATCTTTTTTAAGGATTTTTTTGACTCAACTATATATATATACGAATAACGTACCAAGTGTACTGACCTACGCCAACTAACGGCTACAAGTATATTTTAATGTTTATTTTTTTCAGATGTATAGACGCGCTATGCGTACGTATACAATTATAAAAATGTCACCTCGGTTGGAAACAAAAAAGTAATAGATACATACTTACGGCCCCAGCACTTTTTTTTTGTTGTTTTTTAAGGAAGGCTTTTGTAAATAAAAAAAAAAAAAAGTAATGCAACAAACTGTTAACCGTTCGTACAAATGCAGTGCAATATGGACTCCCAAGCCTAGTAATTTTGATAAAAGTAAAGAACTAAATAAAGCACCTGGTAACGAGATGCCGTAGTCGTCCTGGGGAGTAGTCGAGGAGGAGGTGGAGACGGGCGAGCCAGGACACCCGCTGCAACATCGCACGAGCAGACCGCCTAGCGCACTACCACCACGACCGCCACTTGCACGAGCACTGTCAATAATTACATCCTTATCACTTGGGCATAGCAGTAAATCCCGGAATGCCTTCGATTCGGGATTACGTGGCTGCTGCTGTCGATGCAGATGTTCACGGGGAGGATACTCGAGGAGAACAGGTGTCGCGGCAGCTTGGAGGTTAGGTCGCGATCCGAGGTCGTTGTTGTTGTTACCTGCTGCCAACGATACTGCCTCACGGCGGCAGGTACAGCGATACGACTCCGTATTACACTTCCTCTTCTCTCGGGCGAGAGATAAAGAAAAAAAAAAAAAAAAAAAGTCGATGTCTTATCAAAACGCGTCCTCCGTAGTCGTGATTGAAACAGACCGTGCTTGTGACAGTGATCGTTGTTGTTGTTGTTGATGTTGGTCCCTCCTCTGCGAGCTTATCCTGCAGCCAAGCGCCATTTTTAAACTACCCGTTCGGATGTTGTGCTTAGCTGCACTGGAACGAACTCCGAAACTCCGATTCTTGCGACGATCAACGTCTAACGGGCAAGTACATTATCACATATACGTATATGCGGTACCTATATGGATACATTTAAACCTCGACTCGATCAAACGTCTTTCTCGCGAGTCTCGCGACCTACCCTCTCTCTGGTACGTATACGTGTATACCTATAGTTGTACACATACCTGTCGGACTCTCTCTCTCTCTCTCTTTCTATCTCTTGGGCTGCAGAGCAGCAGGTATGCGGCAGAGAAAAAGAGATATAAGGTGCTGGTGCAGCAAAGCGCGCAGCAGCAGCACTGCGGATGTGTTTTACATATATAACATACGTGTGTACATATAGCGGTAAATGTAACGTTAAAGTATATAAACTCGTCCAATTTCACACCAATTTTTATGTATTATTCCTTCCCCCCGCACTTAATTTTAGTGCTGTCCCATAATGACAACCGGACACACCTGGTGATCCGATGATTCGTTTGCTTTAGTTGTATTATTTTTCAACATACAATTATATACCTACGGTTTTTCGTTACGGTAAATAGGGGACCCGCGATGATGTTAAAAAAAATGTCAATTGAAATTAATATAATTCAATGTAACGTCTCCCACTTAAAAATTTCATGTTTTTAACGGAATATCGACGTTACTGCGGGGATTTTATAATACACAGGGCTTATTTGTTGGAAAAAAAAGGAAGTAAGCGTGGGAGTATGGTTCCCCAATCGATCGGCTTACCGCGGTAAAAGGTGATGTACATCATGTTTGATCTATTAACTTTCTCGGATTGATTTAGATGTGAATATAAAATAGATAAGGGTGTAGATTACATGCAAGCTTCCTCTTAATTCTTTTACTTTTACTGTTTCGTTAAGTGTATATAAGTAGCCAGGTATGAGTATTAACGTGTTATATGAATGGGCGTGTGTGTCACAGCAACAAAGTATATTATTTTGAAACGCGTTTAGTGCAGTCACAAAGTCGTTATTCCTTTTTCCCTTCATTTTTCATTCGTCGCAACCTGCAACCCTTTCTGCATCAGCCGCACACGGTATAGTTTATCTAAAAAAGGTAATAAATGCATATTTTAAAACCACATTTATTTATCCATCGTAAATGGGTACATCAATCAAATTTGTTTGTAGACGTCAAGGAATGAAACGACGGTTGTTTTTCTAAATTGTTAAAATATCATAAACCGAAGCGTACGTCAGGTCACATATATTTCTCTGAGAAGAGCAACAAGGGTCCAATTCTAAAGATACGTGCAGCGGCGTCCGTAATAATGTAACTGTACACCTCGCCACCTCTCTCGAAGCGTGTCTTACATTTTTCTTTTCTTTTTTTTTCGAAACGAAATGAAAATATTTATTCCTTTAACACTATGGGCATTGAATTATCATGCGTAGTTTTCCCACTTGCCAGCTGCTGCACCATTTCACCGTGACTATCGCACTCCACCAGTATAATTAAATTATAATAATTAATACACAGCATCTAAAAATGTCTCCGGAATATTGTACGTGGAGCTTGTCAAGACGAAGTAAAAAAGATGGATATTGCCGGTTGAAAGCCAATAACAGAAAAAGTTTTTAAAAAACTCGTGGCATTCTTGTTTTTTCAAAATTTCGAAACAAAAAGGGCCTCTATAAGCTGACGTTTTCAGAAAATTTTTTAAAAAGCTCTTTTCCGTTAGATCTCGCGAAATAATTAAAACAGAGATGAAGGGCTGGGGGAGGAGAGAACAAAAACTCTGTGTCCTCACAAAGAGAGCATACACGCGAATATTTAAAGAGAGACTCGTTGCTCAAAGAGCCCCGGAACGGAACAATTCAAATTACTAAAACCTTTTTGGCTTTTAAAAAAAAGTGGGCGCCGCACTTTTCAACCTCCCGACCTTCGCCACTTAATCACACTCTAAAAGAACACCCATCACCCAATTTGAATTTCATTCGTCGATGAATTCGAATTTTTCTTCACAAACATATACTTTTACTTTGATTAAAGGTGCCATCATTTTGATTTATGTATACGCGGGCGAAAAAATTTTTTTCCCGTGTACAAACTTACTTAGTCTGCGGCTTTCACGGGTGCAAAAGTAGCGTGAAATGACGGTTAAGTATACGTTGGCTGTGGATATACACACATATATGGTAACTTTTGCGACAAGTGAATGTAATGTGCTTCCATATTTATTTTGATTCGAATTGTGCCTCAAATTCACTATACTTTTCCAATTTCACCTTTTCGATCCAACTGAAGAGACTGAGAACAAAAGTAAGCCGTACACGTATATGCAAATATTTATTATTTTCACATAAAAGTGTCGCTATGCACGCCGCTGCAGTTTATCGCGTTCGGCTGTCCGTCTCACCGACCCCGGCATCGTTCTACTTATTATAAGTGCACACAAAAGCCCCCCCCCCCCCCGACGCTTTACCTTTTCGCGAATTATTCAGCGTGTCTGCACGACTCTGGCCAACTTTTTTCTCTTACCATTTTTTTTTTTTTTTTTTTTAATCAAAACTACCACACATAAGTATATGGCTTAGTCTTTCGAGGCCGGAGCGAAAATTTTTGAATTTTAACAACATATGTATATGCAATTCGTTGTAACTTTGCGCATCCGTTTGGTTTCCAGTGGAGGATTGTAATGAGGAGAAATGGCCGCGGGATCGAGTATTCACTTGGCAGTGCTGGCGGGCGTGTTAGCGACCGGTGGCGGCGTTTTTGCCAAACTTTCCGGCTACTTTGCCTTCACGGGCGACCTGGTAAGAATTACGAGTTGTTTTTTTTTTTTTTTTTTTTTTTNAAAAAAAAAAAAAAAAAAAAAAAAAAAAAAAAAAAAAAAAAAAAAAAAATTGAGAGATCGGCCGATTTTACGCCCGATGCTTGTGTGATGTGTATACATATATATTGGGTGGGGTGGGCCACTTGGGGGGGAGAGAGAGAGAGGGGCTTGGATTTGCCGAGGAGGAGTGGCGCTGTTCCTTTCCCGATGGGCCGAGTTGATTGTGTACTTACTTGGGGGATCGTTGCATCCCTACACCCTGATTAGCTTGTTTCCCCCCCCCCAAGCAATATATGTGTCGAGGGTGTGTTGAATTTTGGGTGCAATTGCGTCGCTTCGCGCGATCAAAGCTCGACTTGTCAATCAATGTGCACGTATGTATAATACACATATTACGTATAAGGACAATAGTGTGCCTGAGAGAGAAAAAAAAAGAAAATCGTTTCTCACCCAATAGTAACAATTACACGTGTATTATACACCACAAAATAATGGAGAATCCAACAAATGCCGAAAACGCTATATTATATTTTATGTATTACAACAATAAAGGTACGCGTAATGGCTACATACTAAGTATATGTATATATTTATATCGCAAGAGCAGCTGTTTGATTGATGTCCATTATATATACCGCGCACTCGTTACCCATCGTATGACCATGCAGCTCTTTTTTTTTTTTTTTTTTTTTTTTTTAATTTCGTTGCGTGTGTGTGATTTAAGTACAATGTTATATCGATGCGTGTGTTTGCGCGTGCGAAAAACAGGTCGTTTTCATAAATTTTAACGAGAGAAATAAAATATACGTACCACCATCTGTGGGGAACTTTTTTGTTTTTTCTACTGCTCGGTGTACTGCAGTGCAGCAAGTACTATTTTTTTTTTTTTTTCTTATCTAGCAAATAAATAAATTTCAAGTTCGCACGCTTTGTTCATATAAGCAATGATCAAAAACGGTACCTATCGATGAAAATGGCCTTCGTTGTATGTAGTTTTTAACATAAACTTATAAAAATACATAGATACACGTGAGTGTACAATAATTGTAAATATGGGGGGGGGGGTGAAAGAGACGGCACGAGTATATCGCGAGTATAACAATGAATTTGCAAATTTCAAGTGGAGCCCAATAGCTAAGCTGTTACTGCTGGGCGCCATGGTGGTCAGCAACACGTTGGGCTGCACGCTGTTCGTCAAAGCGATGGTCGGGTCAAGCTCGTCCCTACCGGCCACCGTGGCCAGCTCAACCGTCAACTACTTTTGCTCCGTAAGTACAGCCCATGAGATTATGCATATATGCTTGCACACTCGTGCCCTTTTCGAAAACAATTAGCTCGTATACTTGCCACCACCGTCGGACTTGGACATTGTTATTTGAAACTGTATAGTTTATTTGGGCTGAAAATAAATTAAATTTTTTTCGTAGCAAAAACAGTCCATTGAAGTTAAGGAAAAAAAAGATTTCAAGTTTATTAAAATGTATACAGTATAGTTTCAAATGAACTTTAATATCTGAAATGAATGGTTTTCTCAACATTGTATCGCGAATAGCGAGGGGGGAAGAAAAAATTTTCTTGTCCAAATTCAAAGTGACAGTGTCACGAGTATATAATTATAATTCATTAATCGTATATCTGTACGTTTATTCGTTCTGTTTTAAAATGATATACGATGTCACAATATAGGCACTGCTGGGCTGGCTGGTGTTCGGGGAGTCGACGTCGCTGACCTGGTGGTGCGGCACGACCCTCGTGCTCCTGGGACTGCTGTGCATCTGCAACTCACCCGAGTCAAACGAAGTGGTGACCGATGATTCGAAAAAACTCGCGGACACTTCTGGTATCCAAGAAGAAGAAGATGATGATACGAAATTCAAGCGCGAATAGAGGCAAAGGTGTTTTTTTTTTTTTTTTTTTTACCATACAATGCTGATGTAATAAATTGACTGGCACACACAAGTGCCATTTTGGTCATCCAAATGAAAAGCTATTGTTTATTTCTCAGCCCAAATATACACGAAACATTCAGAAGCCGAGGAATACAAGTGGTGTATACAGGCAAACTCGTTGGCTCGGAAACGTATTTGTGCATCGAGGGGAGCTTAAGCGAGAGTTTATATATACATATATACATGGGATAAGGGTTCAGAGGCACGCGTATTGGATGCTGCACGTGTGATCAAAGTTTAAAAGATTCGAGAGTAGCCACTGAGGACTCGTTTGACGCTGGATTGCGCCGTTTCGAGTTTACTTTATATTTCATCGGCCGGGCGAAACGCGGCCTTTTTTCCTTTCTATCCGTCGAGCTATACCGTCGAGGGTACTGTATTTAACTTTTTTTTTTTTTTCCAACCGACTCGATCCGGTAACCACATTTTTTTGTATTTTAACGAGAAACAGGTAAAGTATATTACAAAAAAAAAAAAAAAAAAGAAAAATCGTCACGGACTACGATATAGACTTCACGTATGAGATTCGTTATTTGCTAATGACGGTATAATTACGAGTCGCGCGGGCGGAGTTTGTCAAATGGGCTTGAAAGATCTGTTCCTTTTTTTTTTTTTTTCCTTCTTTCAAACTTCCATTGTTTTTGTGAAATGGAAGAGAAGCGCCGGGAAGACGGAGAAAAGAAAGAAAGGGAAGAAACGAAAAGAAGTGTGTATATACATGTACGTATATAGACAGTGGCCCTGCGCCTCGACGACGATTTAACGAGACCTGCCGGCTAGGCGCTCTAGTTCCCCCCCCCTCTATTCTTCTCTGGTAGTTTTTTCTTTTCTGTTATTATTTTTGTTTGTTTGTTTGTTTGTTTGTTTGTTTTTTTTTTTTTTTTTCAAGTTCTCGTGTGCCCACTTTTTACGCGCAGTGTAGCTTTCAAATCCTTTAAATATAAATTACACGTATATAAGAAAAATAAGGTTGAATGAATCAATAGACGTATAAATCCTCCGTAAGGGCCCGTCACTTGGAGGGGGCGCGCAATTGGTGTAACCAATTTGTAAATTAAAACTCGACTCTCCCGAGGAGGACGGATTACGATACACAAACGGGGAAGAACAAAATAATAAAGTGGCCCATTTTATACACGCAACAATCGTACAAAAATTGATTTGCACCTTCCCCCCACCCCACCCCCTCCCTTTGAAATCCTCGCTGCATTTTGTTCTCGTTCCAATCGAGTTATTTAAATGACCATCATCATCCTAGCTTCAAACCTTAGATTATAAAAAAGCGCCATACTTGAAAAAGGAAGAAAAAAAACAAAAACAAAAAAAAAAAAAACTAGATTCCCGGGATGGTGGTTGATGGGTAATGTATGTATGTATGCTACTACCTCCGAAATCATCCACATGATCGCGAGTGTACAGCGGGGCAGAGTGTTGGCGGTTGCATAGATATAGGTATATAGCCTCTCAAGAAGAGTATGCACATCCCTCCCCGCTCCTACCCGTGTATATGTGCTTGTATACATGTATGTGTGCGAGTATAGGGGGTGGCGCAAGGCAGTAGGTTGTCCTTTATCGAGCGGCGCTTGCGTCCACCCCCTCGCCCCACCCCCATACATGTATACATGTATATATAACGACTACCCTGTATGTATGCGCAGTGCATGTGCAGCAAGAAAGAGGTGCAGGTATATAATATAGCAAACGAGGGTGTGCAGAGAGCAGCTATAGCCTCCCTCCCTCCCACCCTCCTATGTATATCGTTGCAAGTGAGCGAGGAGGAGGAGGAGGAGGAGGTCTCAAACTCCGACTTCTCAGTCTATCTCGGCCAGAGTCGCGGGTCGGAGGTGCTACCCCCCCCCCCCTCTCTCGTATCTGTCCACCGCTCCCTCCGATGACACTAACGTAACGAGAGAGCACTCCCGTCAGCTGTGCGTACTCGCGGCTCTTGATTAAAAACAAAAACAAAACAAAACGGTCAAGAAAAAAAACGACAAATATATATATATA